TTCACTGCGTGCACCTTTACAGCCTCTACCGGTTCCGGCATAGTGCTGGGAATCCATCTCAATGGATTTCGTCTTCGGGTTACCCAAAGACGCACGCGGGAATACGGGTATTCTCGTATTTGTTGACAGATTCAGCAAAATGGTACACCTTGTGGCTGTACCAGAGACAATCACGGCAAGTGGCTGTGCTTGTGTCTTTATTGACACCATCTTCCGACTTCATGGGTTGCCCCGTGAACTCGTATCAGACAGAGATCCCCGATTCACTGCTGATTTCTGGCGTTCCGTGTTCAAATCACTCGGAACGCGCTTGAAGATGTCAACATCTGATCATCCAGAGTCAGATGGTCAGACGGAACGTGCCAATCGTGTCCTTGAAGAGATACTTCGAGGATACGTACACTCCTTTAAGAGTTGGAGTGAGTTTTTGCCAATGGTAGAGTTTGCCATCAACAACTCGGTGCATGCGTCCACGACACATACACCGTTTTACGTGAATGGCTTGCGCCATCCGCGTGTACCCACCTTACTAGAGTGTAACTCTGGTTTAAGGGGGAGGGACTCGCGCGAGCAAAAACCGATTTGGTTCACGCTCATCACGCTCTGACGAAGAAGTCATTGCGTTTGATGCCGATATCGATAACATCGATATCGAAGAAGATGATGCCAGTGAGAGTGCGGAAGCCCTCACTGAAGACAATGATCCCAGTGAGAGTGCGGAAGCCCTCACTGAAGAAAAGGTTGTTGTCGCTGCAGTGCGCTCACAGCACACTGAAGCTAACGAGTCATCAGATGAGTTCATACTGGCTCGTGAAACGGTAGTCCGTTTTGTGCAAGACTCCATCGCCGAAGCGGTGGATAAGCAAAAGCAAAACGCTGACAAGAATGGAAGGGCAAACACTCTTTTATTTAATAAAGGTGACTTAGTCCTACTGTCTACGGTTAATCTACCAAAACATGTAGTGACTAACTTGGGTAGCAGTAAACTACTACCCAAGTACATTGGCCCATTTCGTGTATTGCACCGCCTAGGCAATGCATACACGATCGAGTTACCACGTAAGATGCGAACGCATCCCACGTTTTACGTTGGTCGGCTTAAGCCGTACCATCAGTACGCTGCTTCTTCCGATGAAGAACGCCCTTGCGCTCAAGCATCTCGCAGAGAGCCTTGTGCTCCCGATGGTGGGCATCAACAAGGGTCTGAAGAGCAGTTATCTCAGCCCGAGACCGATCAACAATCCCACGAGCTACCCTTAGCTCGTCACGAAGAGATGTCAGAGATCTCTCGTTCTCAAGCTGAGCAAAGGCAAACTCAGCTCGATGCTTCGAGGCAGTGTCCACCATCTGGAGACGCCTATTCCGCTCATGCTCGAGATCGTCGCGTAACCCTTGCGTTACGCGATCAAAGAAGCTCTCGGGAACACACCGATCCACATGATCGTGTGGAGAGCGTCTTTCCTCCTCCTCCACCTCCATTAGAGGACTCTCGCGGTGGCCAGCGCTATCTAGTAGAGCAGCTGTTGAACCACCGCGACGTGAACGGACGTCGGACGAGTTACCTCGTCCGGTGGCGCGGCTATCCCCCGTCCTGGGATTCTTGGGAGCCCCGCTCCCAATTGATGGTTGACGTACTGGGTCTGGTCGAGCAGTACGACGCGACACATCCTGTGCCGCAGAAGGACCGCCGGAGAAAGTCTTCCCGGCACGGTCGTAAAGGGATTTCAGGTTGTCAATCCCTTCGTACATCTCAGTAGAGACACGTACGCGCCACCACGGGCTGGTAAGGAGGTAATCCTCCTTAGGTGCTCGTGCAGAGTTGTTCACACAACATGGGCACGAGTCTCCCCAAGAGAGGCAGGGTAATCCTTTCTCCCTTGACAGACGATGCAGCTTATAGCGTGCACCTGTCGGGGTTCGCTTTTCAAACTTATCACGAGCTTTGATAAGTTTGTCGTTCCAAGCGTCACGACCTACATCCTCGAGATTATGGATGTAGGCGTTCCACGCCTGAAGTAGTGAGGGACCATCACGTTTGTGATTCCCACTGTACCATCGATGTCTGAAGAAAGCATCGATGAAGAACTCATGTTCAGCGCGATAGTCTTTCGCGCTGGGGTCAAGGTGATGAATCCTTGACGAATCGAACAATCGTGTTCGATAACGATCACTCGTCGTCGCCGACAAGTGATCCATGACAGATTTAGGAGGCATCCATGCCTTCTTTTCTGGAGCGAGACGCAACACATTGCGGTCCCGCTCTTCCTGCGACGTGCCGACAGAAGTACTGGCACCTCGCTGTGAAGTGGTGTCCATTGGAGAAACGACACCACTATTAGCGCCCGAGTCTCGCGACCTCGAGCGCCTTCGCTTCGGCGATGGTTCATCTGACTCATCAGATGAACCAAAGATGCTACGACGCAAAGCATCGTCCATGCCACGCTTGGCAGGCGGCTTGGATTCAATCGCCGTCGATACGGATCCGTCTTCCGTATCAGGAGAGTACGAGACACCGAGCTCGTACTCTGTGAAGACACGAGTGTCTTCATGACCAGCGCCTGCATCACCAGGTGATACAGGCTGAGTCGATTCAGCAACCGATGGGACATCAGTTGCTGTAGTTTCTGCTTCGGCGTCCGCACAGAGACGTGCAGACGCGCTCTCGGCGGCCTTGCTCGCGCATCGCATGGGCTTGTTTACCATGCGATGAGATGTTGGAAAGTGGACGCGGACCAACAAGTGCAAACCCCGTCCCAAATGATTTGGGACGAGTATCCATTTAGTCAATCAGTCACTAAAGTGACTGATGGTTAAGGGGGGGGTGATGTAACGGGGTGAATCGTTACATAACAATTTATAAGAAATTGTTAATATAACTATAAGAGTTATATTCTCAGAATATTGTCATAAGGACAATATTCTGTAGCACTTCCAAGTAGTTCCTAATTGGTTGATATAGGCCATTATATCAACCAACGAAGACGCGCCACGACAGACGCACGCAATGAGTGGTGAGCAGATAACTGATTTACACATTTGTATTTAGACATAGTTAGATGAAGATAAATAGTGATTTATTGCAGACATTAACTATTATAAATACAGTTCTACTTTTTACTCTAACCGAGTACTCGCTTCTTCTTACCGTCTTCCTCTGCACGTACGAGTGTACGTGAAGTTACGAGGCACCGCCTTATTCTGTTATCAGAATAAGTAGCTTGTACTGTCACCAGTACAAGCTTCAGGGTGCCCCGTTACATCAACGGTATAATGTTGCTAGTGTGCTTCAATTAGAACTACGTCTTCCACTTCATTGTCCTTTCATCAACTTCAGCCAATGACTTGCAACTATGGGTGTCGCAGATCTACAAAACGTAGGCGGAACAACGTTATAAGAACTGTTCTCGAGTCATCCCCGACTTGTTGCGCTGCTGTGGCGCTCTTCTATGAGTATAACTAAATAAAACTTTTTGATTGGACGGATAATTAAGCTCTTCTGACTGCTGTCCGTCGCTTCCATTAGTCCTCATCCCATGCTGTGTCATAACAAGATCGAATAGATCGTGGTTTAGTGCACACCTTCGATATAGGCGTGGCTCTTATAGACATTACGTCTTGCGGGAGCACGATTAAGCGTCGTCATTGCTGTCGTTACTGCATAATAGTAATTTCTTAGCAGCGCGTCTTGATTTCTCATCAAAGCAAGTGACGCCGAGCCTTGAAAGTCTTCATTTTGCATACCTATGATATCAAAACGGATTAAACTGTACACAAAATTCTCGGTAAAAAGACAAACTAGCACCAAAACGTACAGCCTTTGTCAACGCTAGATACCACAATATAGAGCCGTTACTGCGATGTCGACAACACAGAGGTACGCTGATCCAATATTGGCAGGCAGTCCGCCTAACGTACATGGAAGCCCGGAGACGTTTACTAACATATGCTGTTTGCAAGTGGTGAAACGACCTCGACAGTTGCTGGATATAGCATGGATACGCAGGAGAAGTGGCGTTGGATGTTATGCCGATTAGATGCTCACCGATTTTAAAAAGCTGTCGGTCCGGACGTCGATCATGAGCGTATGCGACGTGTAAAACGAAGACACCTTCATATCGAGAAAGAAAGAGATCAGCGCAAGAAAACTGAACGTACCGTTCGCGCTTAGTGTAGTTGAGAGAGAAACAGGCTGTCTTACTACCTCTACGGCTTGCAAGATTGCTGAAAAGTCCCTAGCCGCTCGAGCACCCCTACCGGCGGTGTGGGCTGCCGTCCGGAGTCATTTTAAGTAAACGGTCGCACAGGAACCGAGCTGAAAAGAGTTCTGTCGCTCGCCGGAAATGCCGTCCTCGTCGCGGTTGAACCGGTGTTTTCTGACCGCTACTGCTTGTAGCTGTCGAAGCAGTGTTTGTCGTAGTTCGGTTTCCGCTTGGTCAGCGGATGTTTCCTCGTGATTGTGCACCCAGCGGTTCCGCTGTGCCATAGGTTGGCGAAGCAGATGGAGAACGCTATCAACCAGATTTGTATCCAAGCCCTGCTGATCTCCCCCGCCGTGATGCTTAATGTAGTTTGCCGCGAGCCAAGTATGAAAGACTAACCACCAAACTAAAGGAAGTGATCGATTCTAGATGAAGTTGGCAAAATGCAAAGTGAATATATTTAGGTCCTTAGTTCACAAACTCCTATTGCTAGTCTAAGCCTACTGAATTCTTTCTGCCTATACGTTAGTAATCGCCACATTGCGCATTACTACTGGTATAGAGCAGATTAGTAATCGCCACATCGCGCATTACTAATCGTCTAGTCGCACATTACTAAATCTAGGCGGTGTGTTTCTAACAAACACCTAAACTTACTAAATGTGGGGGACGTCACTGTCTGGCAGGACAGTGCTGGTGAACCCCGGCACACCAGTACCCGAAGGTATTAACTTTTATTGCAGTCACTGGATATCGAACCAGTGACCTCTCGTATGGTGCTGCCACACCATACCACATGAGCTACGTGCATCTTACAAAATCAGCCTGCCGAGGCGTTTGTTTTGCAACACTCCCACTCGCCTCGGCAGACCGTGGCGCCTTGATGCCCAACATACTTCGAAGATACTGGAACTGTGATGCAGGAATTGGCTTGGTCATTAGGTCAGCCTTCATGTCCTTGGTCGAGCAGTATTCCAGGACCACTTTTCCTTCTGCCACCTTCTCACGCACAAAGTGATATCGAATGTCGATGTGCTTGGTCCGCTTGTGGAACTCGGGGTTCTTGGCCAATGCGATGGAACCTTGATTGTCTTCGTAGATCTTGACTGCTTCGTCGCTATTCATCTCGCCGAGTTCATGTAAGAATGCCTTAAGCCAAATTGCTTCTTGTGCAGCTTCAGTCAAAGCCATGTACTCGGCTTCTGTAGACGATAGAGCCACGGTGCTCTGTTTCTTGCTTCTCCAGCTAATGCATCCGTTGTTCATTACAAAGGCGTACCCGCTTGTGCTTCGTCTAGCCTCGACATCTCCAGCCCAGTCCGCGTCCGAGTAGCCTTGCAGCTTGTCATCACTGGTTGCTTGGAATTCAATTCCATACGTCCTTGTGCCTTGAATATAACGGAACACCCGCTTAAGCGCTTGCCAATGGGTTGGACAAGGTTCTGCCGCGAACTGACTGAGAGCTCCCACTGCAACTGCGATATCCGGGCGGGTCCCCACCATGAGATACATCAAACAGCCGATGGCGTTGCGGTATGGCACATTTGCCATTGTTTCCGCATGCTTGCACCCATCTGCACACATTGACCTTGTCAACTTGAGTCCAGGGTCTTGTGGAGTCTTCACAGGTTTGCTGTTTTCCATGCCAAACTTCTCGAGAATATCTTTTGCAAATTTGGACTGACGGACTGAAATCGTGCCGGCTGAGAGGTCTTGATCAATTTCCATCCCGAGGAAGTACTTGAGGTCGCCCAGGTCAGTCATGTCGAAGCGTTCACTTAGCGCCTGCTTAGTTGATTGTATCAGCTCGAAGTTGTTACTTGCGATGACTAAATCGTCAACGTACAGCGCCACGAAGATCATGTCTTGATGATGTCGCTTGACGTAGATGCAGTGGTCAGTTTTGCATTTTCGAAACTTCAAGACCAGCATAAACTTGTCGATGGTCTGGTTCCACATTCGTGGTGACTGCTTCAGACCATACAGAGAGCGCTTGAGATGACAAACAAGCTCCGGATGATCTTCATCAACGTAGCCATCCGGTTGTGTCATGTAGATGTCTTCATCAAGGTCTCCGTTCAGGAAGGCTGTCTTGACATCCATCTGGTGAAGCATCAGATTGTGCTTTGCCGCCAAGCTGAGTAAGATCCTGATTGACGTAAACTTGGCCACCGGAGCAAAAGTTTCTTCATAGTCGATGCCATGTTTCTGCAGAAAACCTTTGGCCACCAAACGCGCTTTGAACCGCTCGATTGTCCCATCCTTGGTTTCCTTGACCCGAAAAATCCATCGATTGCCGATTGCCTTGCGCCCCTTTGGTAGCGGTACAAGCTCCCAGGTCGCATTCTGGCGAAGTGAAGTTATTTCAGAATCGCATGCCTCTTTCCAGTGGACTGCATCGCTGGATTCCATTGCTGACTTGAGCGTTGTCGGCATTTCTCCCACTGAATCCACGATGTAGGCCGTTTCAACGTCGGGACTGTCATGCTCTGTCGCAGACATTTCAGCCATGGTGGGGTATCGACTCGGTCTTTTCGACTCTGGAGGGTTCGCTAAGGCTTCGAGCGACTGCGTGCGTTGGTGCCTCTTTCCCCTGATCGCATCGTTATTATCCTGCGTAGTGTCCTCTCGTCCCGTGTCAGGGTTGTTGGTATAAGTGTACTCTTCTTCAGATAACTGTTCATCTTCGAGGACAGCTTCATCTGGAACGTAGTCACGTCTCCCACTATCGAAAATGTTCTCCATGAACTGTGCGTCGCGACTTACCAGCACACGTCCGCTCCTGATCTCCTCAAAACGATACGCTTTCTCATGATCGGAGTACCCGATGAACCGGCAATGAACTGATCTTGCGTCTAGCTTGGACCTTTTTGGCTTGGGCACATGAACGTATGCATGACAACCAAAAACCTTCAAGTTCGCAAGAAGAGGTTTCTTGCCAGTCCATACTTGGTATGGTGTCTTGCCATGGTCCGTAGATCGAGTTGGACAGCGAATGCGTAGGAAGTTTGCGGTCATTACCGCCTCACCCCAATACGACTTGGACATCGCAGCATGTTCCATCATGCAGCGTGCGCATTCCACCAACGTATGATTCATTCGCTCGGCGACACCGTTCAATTGAGGAGTGTAAGGTGGTGTAAACTTCTGCACAACACCATGGTCCGAACAGAACTTGGTCATCATACCGGAGGTGTACTCTCCACCGTTGTCGCTTCGAAGAACCCTCACGCGATTGCCAGTTTGTGTCTCCGCCAGCGCGACAAACTGAGCGAACTTGGTCAAAACTTCAGACTTGTTTTGCATCAGATACACCACACAATAGTGCGAGTATTCGTCGATAAACGTGACAAAGTAACGTTTTCCACTGAATGTCGCCGTGTGCATAGGACCACATACATCGCTGTGAATGACCTCCAGCAGTGTCGTTGCGCAATCGGGTGACTTCGTCATATAGCTCACCCGTGTTTGCTTGCCCAGAGCGCACCCTTCACATAGCTCCCACTTGTTTACCGAGGTCAAGTTGATTCCGTTGCAGCAATCGTTTTTGACGATAGCATCTAGTCCCCCGTGGCCAATGTGACCAAGTCGAAGGTGCCAGAGGTACGACGTGGTGCTTGCTTTGCAGGTATTCGAGCTTGCCACGTTGACCTCGTCGGGCAGTTCCGGTACCATACGGAGCTTGAACAGTCCTTTTCCTTCGAGTTCGCCGAGTTTCCACTTGATACCCTTTGTATCAGCAAAGCAACCATCAACCTCGAATGTGACCGGTCCAACATCCTTGGTGAATCGTCCAACGGAGAACAAGTTGCGTGACAGTTTTGGAATATGCCACACACCGGTGAGCACACCCTTCTTGATCCCGCGCGGAGTCTTCATTGTCATCACGATGTCACCTTTTCCAATTGCTTGGACCACACCGTCATCAGCAAGATGCACATCCACAGGGCCAAAATCCTTGTAGTTCCTCATGAACCTTTTTGAATTTGTCATGTGCTGCGTCGCACCCGAGTCGATCAGCCACATGTTGCTCGACTTGGTCTTGTCACCACCAACCGAGAAAAGATAATCGCCAAGCTCTTCTTCTTGCGCGATATTCGCACGCTGGAACCTCTGTCTACCAGCGTCTTCTTGGATCCGCGAAGGGCATTCCGCAATCCAGTGTCCTTGTTTTCCACACTTGTGGCACGCACCGGTCTTCTTCATCGGTCGAGCCTTGCGCTTGTTATCTCGAGACATGAATGCTTGAGCTTGACTGTGCGCGGATCCTTCAATTCCGCCACCTTGTTCCTTGCGCTTCATGTCTTCGTGCAGCAGCCGAGACGTCACTAGCTCCAACGTGAGGGAGTCGGCTCTCGACTCCAATGCTGTAATCAGGAACTGATACGACTCGCTGAGGCTGGCTAGAAGCGTGATCACGAAGTCGTCCTCGCTAATCGGAGCACCCACAGCGTCGAGCTGCTCCGCCAGAGTCTTGAGTCTGTTGATGTGCTCCAGCACATCATCACCTTCGTCCATCATCGTCGTGAAGAAGCGTCGACGAAGGAAGAGCTTGTTGGCCAGGCTCCTCTTCTCGAAGTGTCCTTCCAGTCTTGACCATGCATCATGCGCGTCACTAGCTGACCGGACCAATGGTAGCTGCGAGTCTTCCATTGCGAGACAGATGATTGCGAGCGCTTTGCGCGACTTCCTCTTGAACGTTGCTTGATCAAGATTGCTGGTGCAGTACTCAAGCTTGACTCGCCGTTCACGACGTCCCACAGATCTCGCTCCTCAAGCACCATCCGCATCTTGAACTTCCATGTGTGGAAGTTCGTTCCCGAGAACTTGTTGATGCGAGCTGCGGTGATTGGAGCAGAGTCCATCGAGAAAGCGTGATCGAAGTCTTGGCCAGAGTCAGCGGAGCTTGGGCTCATAACCTAAAGGAAGTGATCGATTCTAGATGAAGTTGGCAAAATGCAAAGTGAATATATTTAGGTCCTTAGTTCACAAACTCCTATTGCTAGTCTAAGCCTACTGAATTCTTTCTGCCTATACGTTAGTAATCGCCACATTGCGCATTACTACTGGTATAGAGCAGATTAGTAATCGCCACATCGCGCATTACTAATCGTCTAGTCGCACATTACTAAATCTAGGCGGTGTGTTTCTAACAAACACCTAAACTTACTAAATGTGGGGGACGTCACTGTCTGGCAGGACAGTGCTGGTGAACCCCGGCACACCAGTACCCGAAGGTATTAACTTTTATTGCAGTCACTGGATATCGAACCAGTGACCTCTCGTATGGTGCTGCCACACCATACCACATGAGCTACGTGCATCTTACAAAATCAGCCTGCCGAGGCGTTTGTTTACAACACAAACAACAACTCGGGACAGTTATGCGAGAGTCATGTCTAGCTTTGAACACGGACGAGCCAGATGACACGGGGAATACCAGCAGAAGCCAGATCCGTACGGCTTCGTAAACGATCGAGTCAATATACCCACTTCGAACGCGGTAAGTTGTGTTGAATCCAGTCTACGTTTTGTAGTATGATTACGGCGCAGCGTTGGACTATGGCTTGTCGACGATGCGACGGCTGGATAAAGACCTGCTTTGGGACCAGATGCCACGATGGGAACACCATAGAGCCCGTCGAAACTGATCTGATTGAGCCGATGTAGTAGATGGGGATCAGCCATCGATTTTGTGTCTAACACGTTTTTTGGATAGACAGTCGCTGTGCTGCTGAATGCAACGTACCTGAAACCTCATCAGGTGTCGCTGAGCTTGTGCATGGACACAGACGGTACCAACTACGAGCTGTCCTCTTCCTGGATCACTCGCACAACTAGCACATTGTGAGCTGTTACAATTTACAGTAAAATGACTCGAAAGGACGGTGGCACTGAACTACTCACACGTTTCAACCTCATGTTGTGGTCGCTACACTTGCTCACGACATCGGATGTAAACTTCGACTTGTCGGCAACTGAAATAGATGGCTGAATACGAAGGTATCCTCTGAAGAACTGCCGTCAAGGATTTGTCCAAAAGGACAAAAAACAGTCCCACAGACCAGCTTGAAGCAGAGACTAGTCGATCTCTGCTGTCGGATTTGACATCTCTCGGCCGCTAAAGACTCAGACCAATCATTTTGTTGTGGGCACCCAACATTCCCCAACTTGCCGTCTTAAGCATACCTTCTCCTGTGACGGCCTTTGCTCGTCGTCCGATGCGTCCATCGATCATCCTGTCCGCGGCATTGGTTTGCCTTTCAGCTTGTGGCAATGTCGTCAAAGCAGCTTCGGCGTCCGAGAACCTCATAGCGTCTCACGAGACCTCGCCTGCAATGGCCGGCGACGCTGTCGTTGATACCAACGTGAACACCACGAAACGACGCGATCATGTGCGGACACCTGAGACTGGTTCGCCGGCAGATGCAATGGACGGCAAAGGCAACGACGAGATGGCCAGCTATGACGACCATCCTGGTATGACGCGTGTCAGCGGGAACGATGACAGCTCCGAAAGATCCCTAGACTTTTTCAGCGAGTCCGGTGGTAAACCGAATCATCGCATGTTTTGGTACGCCGCGGATTATGTAACGGGGTGAATCGTTACATAACAATTTATAAGAAATTGTTAATATAACTATAAGAGTTATATTCTCAGAATATTGTCATAAGGACAATATTCTGTAGCACTTCCAAGTAGTTCCTAATTGGTTGATATAGGCCATTATATCAACCAACGAAGACGCGCCACGACAGACGCACGCAATGAGTGGTGAGCAGATAACTGATTTACACATTTGTATTTAGACATAGTTAGATGAAGATAAATAGTGATTTATTGCAGACATTAACTATTATAAATACAGTTCTACTTTTTACTCTAACCGAGTACTCGCTTCTTCTTACCGTCTTCCTCTGCACGTACGAGTGTACGTGAAGTTACGAGGCACCGCCTTATTCTGTTATCAGAATAAGTAGCTTGTACTGTCACCAGTACAAGCTTCAGGGTGCCCCGTTACACCTGGTAGCACTTCGTAGTCCGTCCAAGGACCGCGTTCACATCCAACATGAATATGTTGGATGATGAAGATGACCAAAGCTTTCACGCTACGCGTGACGGCTACTCCCATTTGAGCGATGTCGAATGGGATGCGGTTGAACGAATGGGTTCGACCATGGGCATCCATGCTGTTAGCGTCATGCTAGAGGCTCTCAATAGAGATGCCCAACATGCTACTATCGCCAAGTTCATTCAAAATGAACTTGACGCCGAACGCGAGAAAGTAGCCTTGCTTCACCAACAAGGTTCTCAACAAGCAGAGTTGTTGAGAGAACAAGGTGCTCAACAGTTTGAACTGTTGAGACAGCAGCAGGCTCCTGCTGGCGGGTCGATGCACTCGCGTCGGCCCGAGACTTTGAAGATTGACATCTCAAAGTATAGAGGGGTCGAAGAAGACTCCCTCTTGAGATGGTTCGTCGAATTGGATGACGCCATAAGGGCGCGTCGCATCGACGACGGGGATATGCAAGTTGCATTTGCCCAGTCAAATCTGGCAGGACGTGCCAAGACTTGGGCACTGGGGCTCAAGCTGCACGACCCATACGCGTTTGGGTCGTTGGAAGTCTTCAAGTCGCGGCTCAGACAAACGTTTGAACCGCCTAGAGCTGAGTTCAGAGCTCGAACCGAACTCTTGAAGCTCAAGCAGGGTAAGCGTGATGTGCACGCTTACGCTCAACATATACGACATCTCACGAGTTGTATAAGTTCCAATCCGGTGGATGAACACACGTTGGTTTCGGTGTTCATGCAGGGTCTTGCGGATGGTCCCGTCAAGACTCACCTGTTCCGGCTTGAACTAGATTCACTAGAACAAGCCATTTCCATTGCGGAGCAGGAAGACTTCAGTCTGAGACAGGCTCGCGCCAGCTCGACATCATATCGTCAACCGAGACGATATGACAACGGAGGTCCAGAGCCGATGGAACTCTGTTATGTAGAGAGCGAGAAGGCTCGCTCTACAGGCTACAAGAAGTTGCAGAGATGCAACAGATGTCAAAAGACAGGACACTACGCTTACGAGTGTAGTGCCCCTCGTCCAGTGTCTCGCGACACTGGGCGTAGTGACCGTCCACCCATGAGAAAGGGGCAGGGACGAGGGTCCGCAGTTGGTGCAAAGACGCAACAACGGGATGGACCGTCAAAAAACGGACAGGATCAGTAGGTGCGGAGCACCCTACTGATCCAGCAACGTCAAGAGAATTTGTAGGCCTCTTGATGAAGGTTGCTCCCAACACACAGACATTGTGCGTTGCTGCTCTAGGTAATGAGATCTCACTCATTACCTTGAAACTCGAAGTGACGAATAAGTTGTCCCTTCGAGCTCTAGTCGATTGTGGGGCGTCCAACAATTTTGTGCGACGCCAATCGCTAGAAGATGGTCACTTTAAATTCAGTGAATGTGACACACCTCCTACGAGGATGACGGTACGTCTTGCGACAGGCGCATCCGTAACCGTCATGAAGCGTATAGTGAAGATTCACTATACACTAGAAGATACCCAATACGACGATGACTTTATCGTATTGGATTTGGATGACAAATTTGATGTCATCCTTGGAATACCGTGGCTCAGAAGGTACGAACCACGGGTAAACTGGCAACATCGGACAGTAACGATGCCTGCCGCTTGTTCATCAGATGGCCATCTGATGAACGTTTTGGAGCGTCCACAAGCGTGTGGATGTACTACGAGTGAGTGCGATGGCCTCACTTGTGGTACGGTCGTTAGTACGACTGCACAAAACCTTAGTGTACCAAACGGTTACACTTCGGAGCAAAGTTCCGGCGGCTGTGAGGAAACACAGGCTGCGCCGAAGGTCCACCACTCGAATAAGTCGGGTGGACTGGGACAAAGATGTATCCCTAGAGGGGAACATCTAGAAGAGAAACAATCGATCGCTCAGGTTAAGCGAAACGATAATCCTAGATCGACTGGAGAGTCTTTCGTAGAGGATCTCGCTGTGGTTGCGCAACCCCAGCTAGAGGAAGTAAAGGGAATAAGTCCCAAGATTACAAATACGGCGGAAATAAGTTCCCCGAAACCCGCGGGAATAAGTCCCCGGGAAGACGAAGGAATAAGTCCTTCGAAGCCTGAGGGAATAAGTCCCCAGGAAATGACAGAGACATTGAATGTCATAGTCAATAACGGATCATGTGTAGGCGCTTATACACTTGATCTGATTGCGCCTCCGAAGTTAACTTCGGAGATCACTCAGTTGCCAACGCTCGAACATAAAAGGTTCTTGCGTGATCTGCGTAGTGGCAAAGTCAAGCAGATCTGCATACTCGTCGCTGACGACGAGTGTGTAACCGACATAAGGTCAGCAACAGTGTTTACTGAGAACGAGAGAGTTCTCAGTAGTTCATCTATGGACGAGAGTGTCCTAGATGAAAGAGACACGAATTGAGCGATATGAGTCCCAATCATGGGAATCGCTCAAGGAAAATCCTCTCTATGAGGATTTGGTTGAATTCAAGGATGTATTCCCTGAAACTGTTCCGTGCGAATTACCGAAGGATAAAGGTATTCGACACGAAGTCGAGCTTAAACCAGGCTCGAAGTACTGTGTCATGAAGCAGTGGCCACTGCCTCGTGAACAAGTACTTGCGATCGACAAGTTCTTTGCCGATCGTTTAGCAGCGGGCCATGTGAGGGAATCAACTTCCCCACATAGCTCTCCGACCTTCTGTGTGCGAAAAGCAACAGGAGGGTGGCGGATAGTGCACGCGTTTAACAAATTGAACGCTGCAACGGTACCGGCTCAGACGCCGATACCGAGGAAGGACGTAATCATTGATGGTATGTCAAAGAGTACCATCTTTTCGTCCATGGATTTGATGGATGGCTTCTATCAAATCCTAATGCGGGAACGGGATATACCCTATACCGCAGTTAGCACGCCTAGCGGCATGCTCTGGGAATGGCTAGTAATGCCACAAGGGCTCAGTAATGCCCCTGCCACGTTCAACAGGTGTGTATCACATCTGTTGAGGCCAGTACGAGAATTCGCGCCGAGTTATTTCGATGACGTATTCATCCATAGTCGAGCTATGGATGGAAAGTCGGACGTTGAGGTTCACAAGTACCACGTCCGACAAGTTCTTACAATCATGCGAAAGCATCAATTGTATGCAAACCTCAAGAAGTGTATATTTGCAGCAAGCGAAATACCACTTCTTGGGTGCATCGTTGGTAAGAACGGTGTACGTCCTGATCCCGAAAAGATCAAGGCGATCACCGACTGGCCCGTGCCGGTCGATGTCAAAGGTCTTCGAAAATTCCTTGGGCTAGCGGCGTATTTGCATAAGTATTCACGCAATTACGCCGAGATGACTGTACACCTCTCTCGTTTGTTGAAAAAGAACGAGAGGTGGTTATGGAACGCTGAATGTCAACGCTCCTTTGAGGGTATCAAGCAGAGCTTGATACAATCCCCAGTCCTAGCAATAGCCGATCAGGACAGGCCATTTCATGTGGTCTGTGATGCCAGCGATTTCGCAATCGGCTGTGCATTAATGCAGTACGACCTTGAAGGCGTTGAACGCGTCGTCTGCTATCAGTCGCGTCAGCTGCAACCAGCTGAGCGGAACTATCCAGTGCATGACAAGGAACTCCTTGCCATGAAGTATGCACTCGCGAAGTTCAGAGTCTATCTATTAGGAGATAGACCCTTCGTTGTTTACACTGACCATGCGTCCTTACGCACGGCAGTGAACAGCCCGCACCTTTCACAACGAATGGCGCGGTGGTTGTCATTCTTTGCAGAATACAACTTTACGGTCGAGTACAAACCAGGACGACTTAATGTCGTCGCTGATGCACTCTCACGTCGTCCCGACTTTGAAACAGTCGCGAAACCCAACAGTGAGACAGTCACTGTTGCGGTTATGACGTCCTCAGTTCCATCTACAACGTTGTATGATGATGTGAGGCGGGCATACGCCCAAGATGGTGAGATAGTGAAGTTGTTGTCACATCTCTCCCAACCATCTCGAGAATCGTTGAAACGATTGTCGTCTGCGTATCGATCTGCATCAGATCGATACACTACTCGTAACGGTTTACTGTACTATACAGCCGTTTCTGGTGACACACCACGTGTTGTCATTCCAGATGATACTGATCTGCGTTTGCGGATCATGTTCGAGTATCACGATGCTCCTATAGGAGGACATCGTGGCCGAGAGAAAACATATCTCACGGTAAGTCGAGACTTTTACTGGCCCCGCCAGTATCAGTTGTGCGAAAGTATGTTCGCGCATGCGAAGTCTGCCAACGAGTGAAGTCAAGTCCTTCACTGCGTGCACCTTTACAGCCTCTACCGGTTCCGGCTGAGTGCTGGGAATCCATCTCAATGGATTTCGTCTTCGGGTTACCCAAAGACGCACGCGGGAATACGGGTATTCTCGTATTTGTTGACAGATTCAGCAAAATGGTACACCTTGTGGCTGTACCAGAGACAATCACGGCAAGTGGCTGTGCTTGTGTCTTTATTGACACCATCTTCCGACTTCATGGGTTGCCCCGTGAACTCGTATCAGACAGAGATCCACGATTCACTGCTGATTTCTGGCGTTCCGTGTTCAAATCACTCGGAACGCGCTTGAAGATGTCAACATCTGATCATCCAGAGTCAGATGGTCAGACGGAACGTGCCAACCGTGTCCTCGAAGAGATACTTCGAGGATACGTACACTCCTTTAAAAGTTGGAGTGAGTTTTTGCCAATGGTAGAGTTTGCCATCAACAACTCGGTGCATGCGTCCACGACACATACACCGTTTTACGTGAATGGCTTGCGCCATCCGCGTGTACCCACCTTACTAGAGTGTAACTCTGGTTTAAGGGGGGAGGGACTCGCGCGAGCAAAAACCGATTTGGTTCACGCTCATCACGCTCTGACGAAGAAGTCATTGCGTTTGATGCCGATATCGATAACATCGATATCGAAGAAGATGATGCCAGTGAGAGTGCGGAAGCCCTCACTGAAGACAATGATCCCAGTGAGAGTGCGGAAGCCCTCACTGAAGAAAAGGTTGTTGTCGCTGCAGTGCGCTCACAGCACACTGAAGCTAACGAGTCATCAGATGAGTTCATACTGGCTCGTGAAACGGTAGTCCGTTTTGTGCAAGACTCCATCGCCGAAGCGGTGGATAAGCAAAAGCAAAACGCTGACAAGAATGGAAGGGCAAACACTCTTTTATTTAATAAAGGTGACTTAGTCCTACTGTCTACGGTTAATCTACCAAAACATGTAGTGACTAACTTGGGTAGCAGTAAACTACTACCCAAGTACATTGGCCCATTTCGTGTATTGCACCGCCTAGGCAATGCATACACGATCGAGTTACCACGTAAGATGCGAACGCATCCCACGTTTTACGTTGGTCGGCTTAAGCCGTACCATCAGTACGCTGCTTCTTCCGATGAAGAACGCCCTTGCGCTCAAGCATCTCGCAGAGAGCCTTGTGCTCCCGATGGTGGGCATCAACAAGGGTCTGAAGAGCAGTTATCTCAGCCCGAGACCGATCAACAATCCCACGAGCTACCCTTAGCTCGTCACGAAGAGATGTCAGAGATCTCTCGTTCTCAAGCTGAGCAAAGGCAAACTCAGCTCGATGCTTCGAGGCAGTGTCCACCATCTGGAGACGCCTATTCCGCTCATGCTCGAGATCGTCGCGTAACCCTTGCGTTACGCGATCAAAGAAGCTCTCGGGAACACACCGATCCACATGATCGTGTGGAGAGCGTCTTTCCTCCTCCTCCACCTCCATTAGAGGACTCTCGCGGTGGCCAGCGCTATCTAGTTGAGCAGCTGTTGAACCACCGCGACGTGAACGGACGTCGGACGAGTTACCTCGTCCGGTGGCGCGGCTATCCCCCGTCCTGGGATTCTTGGGAGCCCCGCTCCCAATTGATGGTCGACGTACTGGGTCTGGTCGAGCAGTACGACGCGACACATCCTGTGCCGCAGAAGGACCGCCGGAGAAAGTCTTCCCGGCACGGTCGTAAAGGGATTTCAGGTTGTCAATCCCTTCGTACATCTCAGTAGAGACACGTACGCGCCACCACGGGCTGGTAAGGAGGTAAGCCTCCTTAGGTGCTCGTGCAGAGTTGTTCACACAACATGGGCACGAGTCTCCCCAAGAGAGGCAGGGTAATCCTTTCTCCCTTGACAGACGATGCAGCTTATAGCGTGCACCTGTCGGGGTTCGCTTTTCAAACTTATCACGAGCTTTGATAAGTTTGTCGTTCCAAGCGTCACGACCTACATCCTCGAGATTATGGATGTAGGCGTTCCACGCCTGAAGTAGTGAGGGACCATCACGTTTGTGATTCCCACTGTACCATCGATGTCTGAAGAAAGCATCGATGAAGAACTCATGTTCAGCGCGATAGTCTTTCGCGCTGGGGTCAAGGTGATGGATCCTTGACGAATCGAACAATCGTGTTCGATAACGATCACTCGTCGTCGCCGACAAGTGATCCATGACAGATTTAGGAGGCATCCATGCCTTCTTTTCTGGAGCGAGACGCAACACATTGCGGTCCCGCTCTTCCTGCGACGTGCCGACAGAAGTACTGGCACCTCGCTGTGAAGTGGTGTCCATTGGAGAAACGACACCACTATTAGCGCCCGAGTCTCGCGACCTCGAGCGCCTTCGCTTCGGCGATGGTTCATCTGACTCATCAGATGAACCAAAGATGCTACGACGCAAAGCATCGTCCATGCCACGCTTGGCAGGCGGCTTGGATTCAATCGCCGTCGATACGGATCCGTCTTCCGTATCAGGAGAGTACGAGACACCGAGCTCGTACTCTGTGAAGACACGAGTGTCTTCATGACCAGCGCCTGCATCACCAGGTGATACAGGCTGAGTCGATTCAGCAACCGATGGGACATCAGTTGCTGTAGTTTCTGCTTCGGCGTCCGCACAGAGACGTGCAGACGCGCTCTCGGCGGCCTTGCTCGCGCATCGCATGGGCTTGTTTACCATGCGATGAGATGTTGGAAAGTGGACGCGGACCAACAAGTGCAAACCCCGTCCCAAATGATTTGGGACGAGTATCCATTTAGTCAATCAGTCACTAAAGTGACTGATGGTTAAGGGGGGGGTGATGTAACGGGGTGAATCGTTACATAACAATTTATAAGAAATTGTTAATATAACTATAAGAGTTATATTCTCAGAATATTGTCATAAGGACAATATTCTGTAGCACTTCCAAGTAGTTCCTAATTGGTTGATATAGGCCATTATATCAACCAACGAAGACGCGCCACGACAGACGCACGCAATGAGTGGTGAGCAGATAACTGATTTACACATTTGTATTTAGACATAGTTAGATGAAGATAAATAGTGATTTATTGCAGACATTAACTATTATAAATACAGTTCTACTTTTTACTCTAACCGAGTACTCGCTTCTTCTTACCGTCTTCCTCTGCACGTACGAGTGTACGTGAAGTTACGAGGCACCGCCTTATTCTGTTATCAGAATAAGTAGCTTGTACTGTCACCAGTACAAGCTTCAGGGTGCCCCGTTACAGATTACGCCTGGTGTTTTTATCTGCAACACCAGACTCGGAATCAAACGCTTCACGAGCTGGAGCTGAATAAGAAGGAAGGTTGGTCCATCTTTAGACCTACTACGTTTTTCAACGAGGGCTACCTTGAGTACGTGACGAAGAAGTGCGCTTCTAGTTACAACAAGGACCAGACCGCTTGCGTCTAGACGCGTTTGTTGTCAGCCTTAAATATACATCTTGACAAAATATCACGCTGACGTACAAATGAGTTAATGACAATGGTAGACTTCTAATCTGATTCAGCTCTTCCTGACTTACATTCAGCTTCGGCAGTCACATTTTCTGGAAGTAGGCGGTGGCTGTTAGTTATCGAAATATGGTGGCATTGTACGCAGGAAATAATTCCAATTAAATTGCAGCGATCAAATAAGATTGTTCATTTTAGTTTAAAGCTAAATATGTATGTACTAGAAATCCTATAGCAAATTAAAAATTCAAAGGATCCAAAAGTGAAACCCATATTTAGCACCACTCACTCCTCTTCTATCCCCCATTTTATTTTACCCAAACCAGCGGGATCATAGCCCCAGAGACCACTGCCATAGCTCCTTGCCTTATGTTTGTATTGTTTGTTCAGGTTGTGCCTCAAGGTCAGACGCACTTAGCCATCCTTGTTGTTTGCTGGGGTTGTTGTTCTCGTTCGAAAAAAGTTTAATCTCGAGCTGACTCTCCATTAAAGAGCTGATTAACTTTATTGAAAAAGACGATAGTGCTCTGTCAGAGCTCAATGATCAAGAGATTATGAGCGCAGTGTAGGAGGAAAGGAATGAATAGAAGGAGCTAAGCGGAGAAGTAGACAATTGCAGGCAGATTAACCAAGTGCAAGAAGATTCTCACCTCAGGTAGTGCCTTTCGCACGCATTATCTGTCCCATAAAAACCCGCAGTTTCGCCTACAAGCTGCGGGTTTCTTGAGACAGACAATGCTATCCCGCAGGCTACAGGACGACACCTACATTGCCAACGCCTCACAAACCATGCTTGGATTGAATAGGTCTACTCCCATACATTTAGTACAAATTCTCCATCAGTGCACTTCGCTTCATGGCTGTTCGTTATTCAAGCCCGAAGGAGAAGCTATCAGTGACTGTGCACAAGGTTGAAAGCCGAACTGTTTAAAGCGTACTTATCCGTGTGTGTGTGTCTGTAAATAACGCGGTTAGGTGTATCTTACACGCTCTAAGTGCGATTTAGCCCGTCCCCACCACATAGGTACTAGTATATATAGGTCATTCCAAAGTCACTCTTTGGCTAGGTCACAATTGTGAATTATGCACGTGATTGGCTTGAAATTTATCAAAGATGGCTATTATTATGTAAGCAAACATAGTGCGCTTATAACCAAAGACTGGTCGCGTTGCCCCAGCCAACTGTAATAGGTTAATATACAGACATTTACCGCATCATACTCATTCTTCAGTAACCGCTGCTGTTGTACAGTGTTCTGCATCTTAATTCAATCCTCCGAACTGGGATACTTCTACCAGCGGGCGAGCTCCAGAGCTTGCTCCCCTTTCTTCTCATAAGCATTATTAGGTATACCGATTCTATTTTATCAACTAGTAATTGGCAGTGGCGGATCGAGTACGACAGGTCTGATTAACGACCTTACGTCAGCCGTCCTCAGTCACCAATTTCAGCGCTTAACCAACGCTGTTCGTACTTAATCGAAACGAAGTGAACCTAAACCAGCGACCGAACATAAGCCTCAAGCAGAAACCTCATGACGCATCCGGATGCCGCCGTCTCTCGTCTGCTCGTCTTGAGCTCGGACATTGAAAGCTCCCACTCTGTGGTGGAGGAGCTGCTTAAGCTCTGTGCCAACGGTACTACCGAAGTGGCCCCAAGTTCCAACGAGACGGTCCTGACGCTGCAGACGAAGTACTATCGAGCGCATGTAAACGTCCACCTGCATGTGGTGCTGGACAACGAGCCAGAGCCGGAGCTGCAGCACGAGCTCCGCGAGTATGAGGCAGTGCTTGTGGTGGTAAGTGCCTTGCAACGAGGAAGTTTCCTGCACGTGCGTGGCCTTGCCAAGCGCCTCGTGGAGACGACGTCCTGCGACGTGTGTCTGCTACTCGTGACGAGCCCTTTGAGAGAGGCGCCAGAGTATGTGGAGGAGATGATGAGCTGGTGTCAAGACAATGGCTTTGAGCTTGTCATGCTGGAGGGTGCAGAGGATTCACGTGGTGACGACAGTGTCTTGAACGAGAAGCACGGGATTGAACGCGTGCTGGAAGCTCTGGAGTGTAATCGATGGAGTTCGATGGAGATGGAGGGGCGATATCTAGTGGGGAAGATTGGAGCAAAAGTAGCAGCAGATGGTGTAGAGATGATTGTGGATGATAGGGACATGATAGAGGGCCGAGCGGAGAACAAGGAGGAGCATCAAGGAGGGCAGTGGAATGAGAGAAAAGACGTACGTCGTCATGGGACACGACTGCAGCAAGCTCTAGAGGTTGTTGAACATTCTGGTGCTTCAAGTGAGAAGACGGAGGGAGATAGGATCGAGAACAACGATATTGATATGGACGATTTCAGTGCCCTGCTTGCTCAAGTACGGTATGTTCGCGATCAAGTTGGAACTCTTGATGACACTGAGCGACGTGAACGTGCTGCTGAGGTGGCCATGATGCTGTCCAAGTTTTTGGGCGAGGACGATGACACTTTAGACGACACTTCTTCTGCTCACTTGTAGGTTGTTGACGGTATGAAGAAAAGTCGTGGCAAGCGTTACAATCTGGGCAATATCACTTGGTTACTTCGCAAGCTGTAGATGGATTTGTTGAGTGACAATATCGTTGGATTTCACGAGTGCGACACTGGAAGAAGTGAGCGAATCTTCTAGACCTGTCGCTGCATGATTGAACTTGCTCGAGGATCAGCTTAAGAAGTAGCTGGCACCGTAGAGGCCATTACGGGTTACATGGTCGAATAGTGACACGCTAAAGTAAGACGACTGATGACTTGAACTGGGACGCGCTGGTGCCTTTCACGGCGTTCTTGTTTGTTTCGGGCAAGCTGGGTGCTAGCAAGGGTGATGTGCTAGTTTGTGCCGGTTTTTGACTACTACATGGAGCTGTTGTGCGCTGTGTATGTGAAGATTACGGCCCGCTTTCTCACATGTAACACTCGAGACGAGATGCTCGTCACGGGGCATCCTCTACTCACAGGCTGATGACCGTCGTCGAGCCCTTTATGGACTGAAAACTACACTTCCGGCCGAGCAGCATGACGTCTACTGCGTGCCGATATCGTGAGATGCTTGCTGTGCGTAGCTCGCGGTTACGAAGACGCGATGTTATTACAGTGATGGAGCACTGAGTGGCGACGGCATGCTACGCCTAACATCAGGCTCAATTCTCGATCACTTGTGGTGCAATTGTCGATCATGCGAAGCTCTTGTGTTTCCAGCGCATGTCAATGGCTACGTTCTGGTTACCTAACAAATTTTGGTGATGCGTGCAGGCAGATTGACATCTTTGGCTGTTACCCACTGGCGTTTTAAATCTTTTCAATGCTTGGCCAGATCTCGAAGTTGTGAATTGAAGTGATGATGATTGCGCTTACGAAGGTTATCAAGGCAAACGGTACCGGAGCGATGAACCGTAAATTAGAGTGGAATGCAGCGTTTGTGCACGATTTAATTGGGACAAAAGCAATAGAATGAAGGTGATGGAACGGGAAAGAGAACCGTAGATGGAAAGGATGAGACATGGACCAAGTGTTGATAATTTGTGCAAATTTAGGTGGGGGACGGTTGACGGCAGTGATTATGTTTGGTAGTGGAAGACGTGTAAGTGGGGCGATGGGGAAACGAAATAAACATATCAATATATTCGACGATGTTTACTGAGTATCTCTTAGCATTGCGCATCGGCAGGTGCAATGGCGTTAGATATCCTCTATGGCTGAACGTTTCACAGTGAGTTGCTGCTGCTCGTATCGGTCTGACGAAGAATTTTTGACAAACGAGAATCAATCAGGACTTTGGAAACTCGCTTTCAGAATGTACTGCTGGTTCTCAATAGGCCAACGCCTCTCAACAGCTTTTTAATTCTAGGCGCCATTGGCAGTACTCCTTAATATGTACAAATGAGCACAACTGCTTTTGAGGCGTAACTTCGCTTATAGAACCATAGAGAAGGATCTGGTCATCGCGCTGTCACGGCTTTGATGTGAGAAAGTTACTGATATGCTTCGTAAGAAAGATACCGTGGAAGGTAAGGGTTTATAGGTATGACTAGAAGGAGCGAGCCGCCCAATCCAATAGCAAAACACTGATTTGGTGCTTGTTATTGCACATTAATAGGTGGCTCTGTTGTTGCGATCGACGCTTCGGATAAGCACTTGTTGCAGGTTGCTTTGTGAGCTCTGGTCTCTTCGAGCCAGAGGCAACGAAGCCCTGGATCGAATGAACGACCTTCAAATTACGTTTTTTTTCAGATCAGCAATAGTTGACGCGGTGGTCCACACGTATTGCACAACATCATTCTATTCGTATGGCCCAGCAAAAGAAGTTTCAAAGGAGTGGGTTTGATTTCACTGGCTGCCAAGCACTTGCAATAGACTACTCTCTAATTATCCAGCCACATCCGAATTAGCACATCGCACTTCACAGAAGAGCACTCGGCTTCTATCCAAGCTGTTCTTTTTCTGGTGCAACAGTGAACTTGGCCCGCCTGCTTTCACACCGCGTCTTGCTTCTCCGTGACCGGAGTGCAACAATTGCGAGCTCACATGAAAACAATTTAAATACAAATACGTGTAGGTTAGTTTCTTGACATACAGTAGAGCTGATGGTCTGTGCTTCCTTCGCCATTTAAACAGTGTAGGTGTGAATGAACGTTTCAAGATGGTGTGTAGCGCACTTGTGAGAGCATCAAAGTTGAATGCAAAAGCATCAATGTACAAATCGTGGCGTCTCATCGTTATCGCCACATTTTGCTCTAGTCTCCTACAGGGAGCTCGTTCCTTGCGTTGTCGCGTCGACTGTCCGTGATCGGGACTTACTTTTGCTGCCCCAGCAAGTACGGACGTATGCTCATCGGCGTGCCTAGAGCTCCAGGACTTGCCGAAGCTCCTGATATTTTTCTTCCCTATCAGCGCTTTCCGTACTGTGCACATTATTTCTAAAAACTTCTTGGTGCATATGGACCCACGAGACAAAAGAATCACACCACCTGCCCGCTCTCGGGGTAAGTGGGTACGTGGTTTTTTCATCAATATAAATGAGCTTACTAATTTTACCACGTGTTGTACGCTTATAAACTGGTGGGAGGGGGACACATGGCATTGTAAGCATTATACAAGCATCAGAGCATTTTACACTTTGAGCGGTAGCCGGATGTTGAATGTCGATTTTGCTTGTATATTTTACGTGTAATAGGAGTACGTAGCGCGGTCTTGCTCGACGAACAAGGCCAAAGCGAAAGAGTCAGCACGAGCCCCTTGACATCACAGCGACCCGCACAATGATGCTATATGTTGATGACTTAGAAAACGCATATATATTATAAGTGATCATCGATCATTGCTGTTACTGCAGTTGTATCCGCATCTTGGCCACCTTTCATGCCACTTGCCTCCAACTCGATTCTCTTGACGTACTGCTGCACCAAAGATAGTAGTTGCTCAGACACGCGATTGCAGGCACTTAGTTGCTACTGGCACTGTGCTGCATTCCTGCTGCTCTTTACTATGGATTGCAAGTGCTGGCCTCTCATTGCCGAGACAAGCTCGGGCGGCGATCTGTGGTTGCGTGATTTCCGCTCTTGGCTTGCACTTTTGACGCACATTGCCTCATCTGCTAGTGCTGATAAGCAGCTCACACTTGTGCTCGGCCGATTAGTGGATAGTCTAACCGCCGCAGTACATTTCAAGTCGGTGTCTTGACTTAAGGCATCAGAGCCAGTTGGAGCCCCCAGAAGCTTAATCCAAAAGGCATGTAAAAAGAATGTATGCGTTCGATGAGACGAGTAAAATTGTTAACACCAACGTCCGAGCGACAAGCGGGCTGGTCCAGATTTTCTCCTTTGACAGACTACAGTCCTGGCCATGAAGATACGACCACTTATATTTTGACTCACGATTCTATTGCTAGTACGAGTTGGGCGCTGCTATTTGAGTATGTTAGTACGTTATGCGCAAAGCTTCAGTTAATACCCCTCATGTGTTAACGTTCCCAATTTCTTGAGTCGGTGGTATAGCTCACGTAAAAAAACGCTTTTGGCACCCGGTCAAAAGTATACAGCCACACCGAGAATACGAAGTTGAAGTATAAAGAATGTTTGTTAAATGCTCAGGGTCATCATCCATTCATTTGTACTTAAGATGTGAAAGGAGCGCGAAGTAAGTCAAAGTGACAGAGTATGCCCGAAACTTTTGACGCAATTGACTAAAGAAAAGTGTGCTATGGCAACGAGAGTAGGCCGAATCATGGTAACGCATAACGTAATCGTTCGTGCTTGCAACATCAAGCGCGCGAAAATACGCTCCCGTGAGGATGCTATACGTGTTCATAGAGGCAATAAACGCATCCGATCCTAGTTGCTAACATGTCTGATCGTGCGATCGATCTGCTCATTCAGTCAGGAGCTAGCTCTTACATTCAATTATTTTGATGTAGCTGTGTACTGGTTTAGCAATGTTTGCTGCCAGGTACATCTTTTCACACGAAGGTAGATGTGGAATGATCGCAATTGTTGCCTTTTTCAAACACGTATAGCATCGTCACGGGAGCGTATTTTCGCGCGCTTGATGTTGCAAGCACGAACGATTACGTTGTGCGCTGCCATGAGACAGCTACTCTCGTTGCCATAGCACACTTTTCTTTAGTCAATTGCGTCAAAAGTTTCGGGCATACTCTGTCACTTTGACTTACTTCGCGCTCCTTTCACATCTTAAGTACAAATGAATGGATGATGACCCTGAGCATTTAACAAACATTCTTTATACTTCAACTTCGTATTTTCGGTGTGGCTGTATACTTTTGACCGGGTGCCAAAAGCGTTTTTTTACGTGAGCTATACCACCGACTCAAGAAATTGGGAACGTTAACACATGAGGGGTATTAACTGAAGCTTCGCGCATAACGTACTAACGTACTCAAATAACAGCGCCCAAATCGTACTAGCACTAGAATTGTGAGTCAAAATGTGGGTGGCCGTATGTAATGTGGCGTGAACTCCCCCTACTCTTTCTTGTATTTTTCAATACACATTTGTACATAAACTTTCTTCTGGTCGTGCTCTGTGATACTGCTCATCGATTATTCACAAAAACGTTGTGTCTGCGTGCGGCAATCGTCGGGCGTCACGATGACCATTATAGATTTAAGCATGATTGTACGAGCGCTTTTTCAAAGGTTGGTCTTGTACAGATCTTTGCACAGCAGCACAGTCTCCCACATTTGCGACATAAAGCACCTTTCGGATAAACAAAGGAATGGCGGCGCACGACTTAGCGTTTGCAGTATCTCATAGACTTGCAGAATCTGGAAGCAAGAGATAAGAGCAACTATGTTACATCAATACCAAAACGAGTTGAAGCACTCTTGACTATTACATGTATCTCATTACTAAATCCGTCATTTGTAATATTAAAAGTTACCCTGAAGAAGTGATGACTACACTTCAGGTCATATTACATGGCTACCCACATTGGTGCATGTTATCCCATTAAGAATTCGAGTTAGAC